GAGGGGTCCCCGCGCTCTCCTCACCCGCAGGCGGTCTGTCAGGGTGCGGCGTGGAAGCTCAGCTCCTTCAGTCCAGCCGTATGGAGAGGGCCTGCACAAAGCCAAAGACAAAAATGTGCCAAGGGCAGAACAGCAAGGGCAAAAAGGTGTGTGGATGCAGGGGTGTTTGTTCCTTAAAGCCAAGGCAAATGCTTCTGTGGGTCTGCTCTCCACCAGAGCTGATCTAGATGAAAGTTAAAATTTCACGCTGTATGAGCAACCCACCCCCTCTCCTCTGCGAGCCTGGCAGGAGAGCGGGACCAGCCTTGTGGGTCAGGCTGGTGTCCCGCTGCCGCTCAGCATGGTTGAAGCTGGATGGTGTGGAAGAAGGTGTGTGAAGGGCTGATGTGGGCACATCAGCAACGACTTTCCCCAAAACTTTCTTCCTGATGCCTTTGTGGAGGCGTGGGTCTTTGCCTTGAAGTGGTTTCGCTAAAGAAAATGCTCAGTGTGTGACAAGATACTCAGCATCCCAGGTGCTGACACAGCTATTTCCTCTCTCCTTTTCTCCTGTTCCCCGTTTTTAGCTATAAATAGAGCCATAGGTTTTAAAAGTTTGGAGCTGTCCTGGTTTTTGTTTGGTCCAGCCTTGTTCTGAAGAGGAATCTATTTTAATATCTGGTTGAGGTCCTAAGTACTATCTGTATATTGCAGAAACTGCACGGTGAAAATATTCACAGGAGTGTTGGGCCAAATCGTGCAATCCTTAAACTGACAGGATTTGTCTAAGACTGCGTGCTTGGCCCAAGATAATCCCTTGAAGGACTTAACAGTGTGGCACATAAAACTTGCTGTGAACAGGCTTTTGCATATTTCAGATGAAGAAGTCTCTATTCTGATCTCAAATACATGGATGCTCTTTGACAAGTACCTGAAATTCGTCTTCTGCGCTTACAATAGGAAGTGACAGTGCTTTTTTGTTCTTTTGACATACCAAGCAGCATGCACCCAAATATCTGAAATGAGGACAGCAATGAAAGTCTATATTTATACTGATGTGAAAGATGCCAGACTTAGTAACTTAGCTATAGTATGGTATAATACACACTTAACGTAAGATTTAACCTCAGTTAAAATTGCTTGGTAATATGTATCGGGTAATACGATAGTTTGGTAAAAGCTTTACAGAAAAAGCCTTAGTAAGAAATCTGGAAGTATTGCATGTCCAGATATAATGGGAATGTTTAAATTGTTTCAATGGATTGATTGTATCTGAGATACTACATATACCAGATAAACAGCATGCTACCACTTTTTATTACTTTAAAAAAAAATCCATAATTACTAAATATTTCCTCCCAGTATTTATTATTTGTGCATATATAGAGAATAATTTAAGACGCCCAGGCCTTAAAACAGGGTTATCAAAACAATGAGACTATGGTGTTTGTAGTACTGAATAATATATAAGGTAATGATCAATAGTCCCTTACAGGGAATACATTTCATCTTTACATTAGCTTGGCTATAAATTTTCCCTATTGGCTTCAACCTGTGCCGTGTTAGATTTATGTGATTCATGCCTGCTATTGATTAGCGCACAACTATTTTGTGGGAGATGCCAAATTAATTGTTCAAAAAATCCATGAAAGTGCTTTTTTATTGGCCACGTGAGGCTCAACACATACTATACTGTTACTTTATTATTTCATGTAAAGATAGGTTCCAATAAGCTTTAAAAATAGTTACATGGTGTGCTTAGATATGGAAATTCACAAAATGTACTGAGAATGCTACTTTGTGCTGTATTTTGCGGCTCAGAAGGTAGCGTAACGCAGCAGTGTGTGTCTGAAATTTGCTGGATAACTCCTGTGAGATCATTACAGCTTTACATGAGAGCTCCCAAATAGCAAGCAATTTCCATTTCTTCCACAAGACTTCTGGGTTTATGCAAGGTTTGGCGGGTAGCATCCTCACTGAAGAGGTAAGCGACTTGCAGGGAAGGTTGCCTGAAAACCCTCCAACCCTCAGAACCAGATGAGCTGATATTTGATACTTGCTCTACCGTGCACGCTGATGCTGAACCTAGGAGCTTTGGAGAAGCAGTGCTTCTCTGGAAAATGTCCTTACCTCCAGCGCACAAATGTCTGTGTGAGCTTGCTGCTAGGTGCACGGGAAGACTTAATCGTTTATACACTATTACATAGATTTAGAATATTTTAATTTTTGGATTTGAGAGGAGTAAAAAATAACACAGCAGAGAGAATGGTTACCATATAGACAGAAATGTGTGAGACTCTGGACTATACTAAGGATTTGCCTTTCTAAAGCCTCTGGAAGCTCATAAGGTTTTATCTCACAATTTTGATCCAAATGTGTTTTTTTGCAGAATTCATTTTGCAAGACAAAGGTCATAGGTTCTTTAACACTGCTAGTTTTGGCAGTCTAAAAACTTGTGGTTTTTTTCTTTGAATGTATTATTTGTTGTGCAAATCAGAACATGACTGAGCTGTAGAAATGTGTTTAGAAATTATGAGAAAGATCAAGAGTAATCTTTTGATTAGGTATGTTAATGCTGTCTGCAATACATTGTTCTAGCAGAGACTCAAAGGTCTTCACTGTTCAAGTATTGTACTTTAAGATAGTTCCTCATCTTCCTCCGAACAACTCTGAAAATGGGAAAACACCTTTGAAAATAGCTGCTTGTCGCTCAGGGATCAGCCACATCTGAAAAAAAAAAATCTTTCAATGGAAACAATATGTACATTGTTTTTTTCCCTGCATTTTATAGGTATACTGGAATTTATCAGTATAGCAGTGGGCTTGGTCAGCATCCGAGGAGTCGACAGTGGACTCTACCTTGGAATGAACGAGAAAGGGGAGCTATACGGCTCGGTAAGTTCCCACTAGCCTTGGGCAGTCATAATCCCTACATTCTGTGGGAAAAATACTTGGTAGCTCCTACAAGCGCCTGTTGCACTAGGTGCTGTGTGGGCACTGTTTCTGCTCTGAATATCTTGCAGCCTATTTCGAAATAAGACCCTGTGGGTGGTGTAGCGAACATGGGAGAGGAAAAAGGTGACAAAAACAGCAATGAGTAATAATGCGGATGGATGACAGTTTAGGTACAAACAATGGAAACTGATGGCCAGAGCTGGTCGCGGAAGACTAAAGGATGTACGGTGAGATTTGTAAACGTGTCCTTTCAGTGGAAACCTCAAATGAGACAAAGTCGCTGTCTTTTGTGCGTAGGCAGAGTGCTTTCTAGGAATTGACAAAAGGAAGTGGAATGGGATGCCTCCTCCCTGGAAGGGTTCAAGGCCAGTTTGGATGTAGCTCTGAGCAACCTGGTCTAGTGGAAGATGTCCCTGCTCATGGCAGGGGGGTTGGAACCAGATGATCTTTAAGGTCCCTTCCAACCCTTACCATTCTATGATTCTATGTCATATGTGGATAAGAAAAGAGAAACAAGAGTGAATAAAAGCTAGAAAAAGTATAGGAGTGAGTGCAAGAGGCTTGGTGGTCTTATCCTGAAAGTCCAGCTGGTGCTCCCTGAGCAGCAGGAGTGAGTTATGGGTGTGAGGGAGGAGCAAAACTTGGTATTTCAGATGTGGGAGTTAGGCTGGCGAATCAGCCCTCCTGCAGCTGATGGGCGACTGTTCTCGGCACTGTGGGCTGCCTTGCAGCAGAGGAGTGCGAGTGTGTGTGTGTGTGTGCGCCACAACCCTTACCTGGGAGTACTTGAGACATCCGATGTACACTGGGGCTCATACCCTGGGTGGATCATGGGCAGGGGGAATCTGAAATCGAGCAGGAAATTCTCCAAATAGTAGAAGGCAACCTCTTCTAGCAGTAACGTATCGACCTCCAAAGTTGTCAAGGACTAGAGAAGCAGTTGTATTTGAAGAAGAGGATGGCAGGTATGAAGGGTAAGCAAACATCTGAAGTGAAGGGAGGCGGTGTATTCACTGGGGTTCATTAAAAGGGTGGAGGAGAAAGTGACAATGGCTGACTGATGGTCTAAGCATTGTGAAGAGAGACACTCAAAAAGGAGTTAAAGTGAGAAAGTTAAAGGTGCTAAAGTGAGAAAGTGTAGGTGAAGATACCTGTGTCAGAGGGGAGTAATGGTAATTGGGAAAAGGGTGGGGAGGGAACTGGGTAGGACAGCAGCGAGAGCCGGAGGAAACATGAGAAGATGGTGATCTGGAGAAGATCTGGAGTACTCTGTCCAGTTCTGGGCTCCCCAGTTCAAGAAAGATGAAGAGCTACTGGAGAGAGCCCAGCGGAGGGCTACAAGGATGGTGAGGGGACTGGAACATCTCTCCTACGAGGAAAGGCTGAGGGAGCTGGGCTTCTTCAGTCTGAAGAAGAGAAGGCTGAGAGGGGACCTAATATATGCTTATAAATATTTGAAGGGTGGGTGTCAGGAGGATGGGGCCAAGCTCTTTTCAGTAGTGCCCAGCGACAGGACAAGGGGCAATGGGCACAAACTGAAGCACAGGAAGTTCCGGTCTTGTCCAGCCTGCTTTGGCAGGAGGGTTGGACTAGATGACCCACAGAGGTCCCTTCCAACCCCTACCATTCTGTGATTCTGTAATGAGTGGACAGGTGAAAACAGAAGAAGTAAGAGGGGAGTCCAGCTTCCATATAAGTGATCCGTGGCAGAGCATTAGGAAGCAAGGCCAGGAATGTCCAGCAGAAGTGTTTTTATGGGATGTCCAAGTTCACCGATCCCTTTCTAGTAACATTTTGTGTGAGAGAGGGAAGGTAGAGAGGGGAAGGGAGACTGTCTTCTGAACGAAGTGCAAGCTAGGGGAGGAAGCCAGAAGGTACAGGTCACGACAGTGTATATGGGAGGCAGAAAAAGAGGTGGTAGAATGAAGGGCAAGTCTGGGATGGAGAATGTGTGAACACAGGAGAAGGGGAGATGCAGAGATGGTGAGAACCAGTGAGTTGGAAAACCAAAGAAAAGGGATTTAGTATAAATGGTAATATGGGGGAGAAAAAGGTTAGCAGGGTGGAGAGGAAGAGAGAAAGGGAATGGGCGCAATGACAGATGTAAACAAGTTGCTGGTGAGGAGTGAGTAAGTTCGTAAGTCACAATCCTCATGCAGCTGATGAATGGGATAAAGAACTGGTGAAGTCATGAGTGCTTTTATGGTTCACTTAGGCAACAAAAAGGCAGAACAACAACAGTAACATGAATCAGTAATGTTGATAATCATCAGTAAGAGCAATCCTTTAAACAGATAAACACAGTGAATCAGTTACTCTACACTTCAGATATTCAGAAAAAGAAAATGTGGTTATTGATAGAGCTTAAGTGCATAGACCTGTGAGAGCAAATGCTACATCGCTTTCTGTGCAATTTGTATTTTGTGTTTGCAATATGTTTGACTGCCAGAGTGAATTACTTAAAACATTCTTGCCGAAGAAATATGGACAAGAAATTCTTCATAAATTGCTAACCTCACTGCGTTAACAAAATAGTTGTTCCATGAATCGCAGTTCTAAAGGAGCATACTTTCCTAGGGGTCTGTGTCTCACTGTCCGAGACATGGGTGTCTCTGACCTTCTGTCCCTGCAGTAACACAAATTCCCCAGCCTTTTGTGTTTCTCGCATGAAGAAAGAGACAGTGTTAGCTGTCCACGCTCACCGGATTGTTAGTTTGCAGGGATTACATAGCTCACCACTCCCAAGTGGGATGTGCAAATGATTTCTCTGCTTTACCCTGCCTCTGATTAGTCGCAGAACTGATAGGAACTTAATTTTCTTGAAGACCTTTGCCTCCTGATTGAAACTGGTTGAAAAGCTAAGGAAGGACAGACAGTCAGGCAGATGGACATTCAATATAATTGGATAACCTCTTTTCCCTAAGAAACGACGCTAAAAAGATGAAGCCATTCATAATGGAGAACTGGCAATCTGAAGGGCCAGAATGCAAAGTTCAGGTTAAAATCTGATGGATGATATGGCTTATTGTCAGCCTCTAGAGATAGGACATACTAAAGAGTGATGGTAATTGAATTACATTACTTCCAATGAAATATAACCTCTAATGGCCAGTCAGTGTGATGATGCTTTAAAGCCTTGTCAACACTAGCAATCCTGGTGCCTATATTTCAGCAACTGTCAGCTCTCATAGAAACACTGAGATAAGCAGGCCTCAGAGCAGATTTTCATGTGGGATTGGCTGGACATTTTTAAGTGACAGTGTTTTGCTTTTGGTCAAAAAAAATGCAATTAGTTGAAAATGAAGTTCTCTGATGGGAGTAAGTGTTGCCGTTTGAACTAGAAGCAAGGCATGATCCAGCACAGAATTATCTTCCTGAGGAGAGAGAAGATCAGTTTAACTGAAATTAGTTTTGAGACCGATACCTGGTAGATTGAGGTTCAAGTTTTTCACCTGAATTAAGCGGAGCAGTCACTTGAGTTGAACCATTCTTTAACACCAGCAAGCTGTCCTTGTGCTGCCTGTGCTGGGAGGTGGGTCCCTCTGCCTTGGGTTCTTCACTAAGGGCCATGAATAGCACCAGCTTTGTCATGGAGCAGGTACACTTACAAGGTTGTGAATGTGTTTTCTAAGGTGAGAAAACTGTTTCCCATGCACAACTGAAGAGCAGCCTAAGAAATACGTGATCCTGCTCTACATCAGCATTGTGGATCTAAGCAGGTGTGTTTCTGCAGGCATTTGGTACTGCAGCCCTTGACACTGACAGAATATATGCCCTGTGTCTGTGACACTTTCATATTTATATTCAAATTACTGTATGAAAAATATATTAGGTGTGAATCGAATCAGCAACCTAAAAGACTTCTATCCTTCTATATTTGGGTTTGAAACATTTGGCACAGGAAGATTTTTCCCAGCATATTTGTGGTGCCACTGGAGATGGGACATATGGTGAAGCAGAGCAGCCAGGATGGGATGATTGCTGCCAGTTTGCATGAAAGGCAACAGTAAAGGCAGTTTCAGCGTATGTTGATCCAGACATATTCCTCCTGACCTTCTCAAAGTGCTGCTTTCTTCCTAGATTAGCTGCCTGACAAACTCTTCCCAACTTGCCACCACTACAAGTGTTGCTGTGCTCTTCAAATCAGAAGCTGATTCCTACTGCAGCTCATGATTAGAAGAGCACAGTGACCTTCAGGCTGCTCTGAGGCAGCAACATATAACATAGTGGCTGTTCTCCAGTTCCTGCTCATCCCATGGTTTTAGCCAGGGAAGACTGAAGATATGTGTATGTGGTACTGCAGAGAAGCCAGTGGTAGCTACGTAGCGATGACCTGGAGGCTGGTTAGTGACAGCTTTCCCTCCCGTCTCGTTCAGTTCCTGCTCTCCCTTTACCTTGCCTTCCCCTTGCAGCCTGCAGCTATGACTCATCGTGTTTCACAACGGCGACTGTGCTTGTCACTGGAGAGGAGGAGGAGAAATCCAAACTACAGATAGAACCCGAAGGGTGTTAAGACGAGACATGAAGACCTTTTTCCTTCCTGAGTGCCAAACGGCTCTTGCCAACACCTCTGGCAAGAGTATTAGCAAGTGTGTCTTTGCTGTGCTCCTTGGTGCCATGCTATGGTGTGAGGGAGGTCTTGCTGATCAGTCCCATGACCTTCGTGCCTGTGTGTGCTGTCCGCACTGTCATGCTGCCCTACACTGCCGCCCTTGTGAATATCAACGGTTGGCACCCACACGGCAGTCAGCGATGAGCACCCACACCATGGGTTTACGCTGCAGGCTGTCCTCTGAAGCAGTCCTGAGCTGCCTCAAACACTGCAGGACCATGGGATACTCTAGCCTCAGGTGCCCTCTCTTTCCCAGACTCTCCTGCAGTAGAGAGCTGTTCTACATCCCACTGCTGACATCATTGCCCCACTGATCTCCCATGGACGC